GAAGGAAATCGGAGGAGGAACAGAGTGGCCGGAGAAGCTCGAAGTTGAAGCTGAAAAGGAGGACTGGAGAAGAGAGTGGAAAGAGAGACGAAGTGGCTATTTGAAGGGTAGAAATTTCAAAGGGCGGCCACGTGCCACCCTCTCGTTGGAGGAGCTGGAGGTGACGAGACGTGAAGGGACGCCGCATTTAATGCCTCAAAAGGCGGGGCGACGGTTCAGGTCTAGGGTTAGCCCACAGACGGTGCGTCTGCCCTAGGCTAGGGTCGAACGTCACGTGACCCGGCCTGCTAAGCTGGAAGAACGTAGTGGGCCACGGCCTCTGGGCCCACGAAATACGAACGGGAAGCTTCTAGAAGCTACCCGATAGAGCCCGGCTCGTCAAATGATACCGGACGAGCTCACAAAGAGATTCCGTTTGCAAGGTCAGCGATCGGACTCGACGACTCCCCAGCGGGAGGACCTCTCCATAACAAGGCTAGGCGTCGGTCTCATAGATCCGAGGTCGGGCGACAAAATAGTAAGAAATTGCAGGGTCGGATAGAAAAGCACACAGTTTATTTAATTAGTACGAAGATTACAAGGCCCAGAACTCGGCCGGTGCAAACTACAAGAGAAAAACAGAGTCATGGCTTGGCTTCCTTCTCTGTCGACGAGCGGGCAGCCGGAGGACCCTCTAGAAAGTACTGGGGGCGGAATGGTAGAGGACTCGGCTCAGGCTCTGGCATCTCGTCCAGATACACGGCCGGCTTCCCATCGTCAATCATTTGCAGAGGCCTCTCCAAAGCGCTCGGCGACATGGCAACACCAAAGAGGGGAGGAGCCTCCCACTTCTCTTCCACCATTGGTTCTGGATCCTCCACCACAGGCTCCATCTCCACATCGATAGGCTCCCTACACATCAGGTCCAGCATGTCTAGAGGCACCACGATGGGGTCTGAAGCCGAGTCGCCCACCAAACGACCTCCGTTAGCCAGCCTCTTCTGCCTCAACTGCTCCAGTCGAGCGTGCTCCTTGTTGCGAATGGACCAGCGGCGATCACCATCCCTGTAACTCATAGCGCCGTGCTTTCGCAAAATGAAGAGTGTTGCGATTTGCATCAGCTGTGAAGGGTCTTTATATAGCCCAGGGAAGGCGAATATTTAGGCGATAATCACGGAGGAGACTGACATAACTGAGCCGGATTGGACGGATGGCGCGAATCTTTGTCAGAGATTAGTTCCATCAGATCCGGCCGGGAAGAGCAAGATTCGCACGCCAACATAGAGAAGATTGGATTTACCCGAGCTATGGGGAATCTTGCAGGTGTCAGATTGAAAAGAACCTGACGATGTGACCGACACCTTGACCAGTCGTCCGGATGGGTACGCAACAGAACACGACAAGACATAAAGCAAAACGAAAACGACATTCTTTATTATTATTGTGAGGAAGGAGGATACAAACGGCAGGGAGCTTATTACAATAAGGAATATGAAAATGCTCCTAAAAGAGATTCCTCCGAGCTATGACCGACCCCGGTACATAGGATCACTCGCCAGGCGAGGAAGAGTCGCCCCCAAAGAATCCCCCCGATGGTCCAGGGGGAGATGGGCAGAACGAGTCCCAGAAAGCTGGCATGAGCGGTGGCGCAATGGGTTCCTCATCATCCGGATACGCCTCCAGGTAGCGGGCGTAATCCTCGTCATCCATAAGGCCCGTGACCGGCCCGTCCAGGTCATCCAGCGGGATGGAGAAAGTCATCTTGAAGGTAAGTTGTTCTGGAACCGCCACCTCAACGAAGGACCCGTCTTGGGAAGTCACTCGAGCAGTTGTAGGCGTAGACGTATGGCGTGAAGGTGGAGCGACCTCTCGTTGAGAAGGGGTCGGCGGCCGAGAAGCCGAAGAAGCAGCGCCAACTGGGGACCTCTGGGAAGCCGGGCGAGGAGCCTTCTTTTTATGTTCCCTTTCAGGCCGGGTCCGCTTGGAAGGCAGCGGACGCCAAGGAGACCCGAAGTCAATTTGCTTTCCTTTCAAAGGAGAGCGACCCATGATGAACTTGTGAAGATAAGAGAGAAGGGAGGAGGCCATTTATAGGTACCAAGCCTAGACGGAAGAATCCCAACGGCTCCGCGAGATCCGGGGAGAATGGCTGACGATCCGGACGTTACAAGGGGTTATTCAGGGCACGGATACGGTAATTAAAGAAGACGAGCGGTTGCTACTTTTCCAAACCCAGGTTGGAGGACCGGGTATGGAAAAGTGAGGGACTAGTTGATGGGGTAAGGACCCCGGCCCAAGAGATAGGGGCCCAAAGAAAATAGAAGTGGGCCAGCGTCGAGAGGAGCCCAAAGAGCAATCGGGCCGAGTCCAGGAGTCGGCCGAGGCCCAAGCCCAGGAAAAGACTCGGCTCGAGGAGCCGTTGAGGGCATTAAAGGGGTTCCTTTAAAAGAGAGCCGTTGAAGCATTAAAGGCAGGACCCGGTCGGGCTGTTACAAGCCTAGGAGAGCCGTTGGTCGACCGAGTAATGGCGTCCAACGGCTCCATATCTTGATTAGCCTTGAAGTCGGCCATTAAGGGCCTTCAAGTCGGCAGAGGAGGAGCCACTATATAAAGGCTCCTCCATTCTTGTAAAAGGTAGACATTTTCGGACACCCGGGAGAGGGGAAAAATAACAAAGAAAGTCCGAGCACTAGCATTACCTCTGAGTTAGACGTACATTTTATTGAGAGGTGTATCCTCTGACCAAAGGTTGTGTTGGACCTCCTTGGGCCCGAAAACCCTAAAACCATCATATATATATATATATATATTATATATATATATATATATATATATATATAATATATATATATATATATATATATATATATATATATATATATATATATATATATATATATATATATATATATATAGGGACGCACTCAGGTGCAAATAAGTGCTCAAGAAGGAAATGCGAACGAATCAGCGTGCGACACGTGTCCAGATCTAATAACTTAAAAAAAAATGTGTTGGCATTTTCGTAAATAATTGAACATCGAAGTGCAAGTAAAATCTCTTATAAGTGCACCTATTTTCAGCTATAAGTGCATGTAATTTTGCCTTGTTAGCATTCACTTTCCGCAACCATTCATGCACCTAGGTGTGCTTATAACTATATATGCAACTATTTATAACTATAGGTGCAACTACTTATAACTATAGGTGCAACTACTTTCACCTATAAGTGCATGTAACTTTGCCTTGTTAACATTCATTGATCTGAGTTCAGCGGGTAGTAATACTCCGGAAAACCACTCGCAAACATTCATACACCTAGATGCAACTACTTATACCTATGTGTGCAACTACTTAGAACTATTGGTGCAACTACTTAGAATTATGAGTGCAACTAAGTATTGATGCTCAGTGTAAATTTTTACTTGCACCTATAATACATTTTACATGCACTTGTAATACATTTTACTTGCACTTCGATGTTCAATTATTTATGAAAATGCCACCGCGTTTTTTTAAAAAATCAGTGTTTCTCATCCATTAGATCTGGACACGTGGACGAACAGAATCCATTCCTATTTCGCGCCTAGGCGAGCCGTTCGCACCCGAGTGCAAGTCTATATATATATATATATATATATATATATATATATATATATATATATGAAAAGGGTCAATTTAGGCCCTAAACTTTTTAAAGGTGCAATTACACCCTTCAACAATTCATTTAAGTGCAATGAAGCCCAAAAACAAATTAATGACCTGCTATCACAAGTCATTAGGTCTCAAGCCACCTTCTGGCAAATTTTCTGGCCAAAAAAAAAAAAGTGACAGGCGGATAAAAAAGGTGGCCGGTGAAATTTTTTGTAAATCTGGGTCGGTTGCTGGTCACTTTTTTTTTGCCAAAAAATTCGCCGGGAGGTGGCCTGAACCCTAATGACCTGTGATAGCAGGTCATTAACTTGTTTTTGGGCTTCATTGCACCTAAATGAATTGTTGATGGGTGTAATTGCACTTTTAAAAAGTTTAGGGGCCTAATTGACTTTTAAGCTAAAGTTCGAGGGCCTATTTGACCATTTTCCCTACTTTCACCTATAAGTGCATGTAATTTTGCCTTGTTAGCATTCACTTTTCGCAACCATTCATGCACCTGTGTGTGCTTATAACTATTTGTGCAACTATTTATAACTATAGGTGCAACTACTTATAACTATAGGTGCAACTACTTATAACTATAGGTGCATGTAATTTTGCCTTGTTAACATTCATTGATCTGAGTTCAGCGTGTAGTAATACCCATGAAAACCACTCGCAAACATTCATACACTTAGGTGCAACTACTTATAACTATTTGTGCAACTACTTAGAACTCTAGGTGCAACTACTTAGAACTATAGGTGCAAGTAAGTATTGATGCTCAGTGTAAATTTTTACTTGCACCTATAATACATTTTACATGCACTTGTAATAAATTTTACTTGCACTTCGATGTTCAATTATTTACGAAAATGACTCCGCGTTTTTTAAAAAAAAAAATCAGTGTTTCTCATCCATTAGATCTGAACACGTGGTCGGATAGAATCCATTCCTATTTCGCGCCTGGGTGAAGCATTCGCACCTGTGTGCGATTATATATATATATATATATATATATATATATATATATATATATATATATATATATATATAGGGTTGCATTCACATGCAAACTACCTTAAAATACAAACATGCAGACAGAAAATAACCATTAGAATAGCTAAGATGAACGGATTAGATGCATTCCCTCAATGGGCACACGCATTGCTAACTTATAATATAACACACGCATACATAATTAAAAACTACCATAAATAATCAATAAAATCCTGTACATCCAACTTAAAAAAACCAACGACTCGGATGAATCCACACTGTTTGTATTTTAAGCACTGTTTGTATCAGAATAGAATCTTTTATATATATATATATATATATATATATATATATATATATATATATATATATATATATAGTTTTCAGAAATAGATCATTCATTAATTAAATATACCATTACTCAATACATATATAATCTTCTAGATGTTGCTATTAATTCTATCTGCAACATCCCCGGTTACAAAATTTTCAAATTTTTGTGGCTTGACCACGTTACCCCCATATTTATATGGAACTGCAAAACATCTGCAAATGTTAACTATGTCACAATAACAGTTAGGATCGCACTGGACAAACGGTGAGCATACTTTTCCAGCACCCACTGCTTCAGCAACTAGTGAAATGTCTACAAAGATTTATAATTTTATATTGGTGATGTTAGAAAATATAATAATTCAAGATTTTTCGAAATAATAATAATATGAATAAACATACACATCACAATCAAAATTGAACTTATAAGGTATACTCAATAATATGAATATAATATTCTAACTTCATATATTAATAATTTTTATAAATGAAATAATAACTACGGTCACCTGTAGTAATAACCAAGGAGAATATTAAAATCAACACGGATGTCGTTGTTCCTGGATTCATGGTTGTCGATATATTAGAGAGAAACTAAGAAGCCTAGATGGTAGTGTTGTGAGGGTGGGATGTGTGAAAAATGTATATTTATAGGGATTTTGTGTCCAATTCATGCATTATTCAAAAGTATTTCTCAAAAGGCATTGCTTAGAAAATTCATAAATAATTTTTTTCTTTAAATATATTAATATATTATTATATTAGTACTCCATAGTAATCTATATATATTATAGTAATTAATTACGAAGTTATATTTTTTCTTACTATGATAGACATATTATAGTAACAGTTACTATATTTTATTATTGTAACAGTTAGTACTTTACTATATATTATTATATATTTCGATTTTATTACTATAATAGGCATATAAATTATTGAGTGTGATTTCCTATATATACTAATAGTAACAGTTACATTTTTTTATTACTATATTTGCAAATATTATAGTAACTGTTAATACTTTACGATATTTTAGAGTTTTTTGCACTTTTGATCCCACAAGTATAGTGACACTATCAAAATTGATCCACGACTTTCAAATCTTGCAACTTTAGTTCACGACTATTGTTTTTTTTTTTTTTTTTTTCAAAAATGATCCTTCCGGCTACTTTTCCGTCAAAATTCTACTGGAGTAAAATTTCTTCATTTTTAAGAGGGCTAAAGTTTCATGTTTAAGTGGCTTGATTACTGATTGTTTGCTGCCATATTTTGCAATAATGATTTTTTTTTTTGATTTAGGAAGAATTCTTAAGGGAAATGTCAAATTTAGCCCTCTTAAAAATGAAAATTTTTTACTACGGTGGAATTTTGACGGAAAAGTGGCCGGAAGTGTAACACCCCCCAAACACTGCCTATATAAAAAGGCCTTAACACCTGCCGATCAAACACAAAACTAGCACAGCGGAAGATAAAACGGAAACTGGATAAAAAGAAATCCAACGGGGTGCACGTCTACCAAACTCGGTAAACGCTACGGCAGCCAATCTGCAAGTGTATACATCTATCCCAACAAGACATCAATCTATCACTACAACGGCACACAGGCCACAATAGAAAGGTAAAGCTACTAGACTACCGGCTTCTAAACATCGCGCTCGTCTAGACATCACCTGAAAGATACAAAGATAAACATTGGGACGACGCCCAGTCAGCGATAATGCTGGTAACCCACCAATACCTGTTGAGTATCATACATAGGTAGGATATATACAAAAATCATTTTGAAACGAAGTACGTATATATAAGTGTAAAACCAAGAGTAAACGCCAAACTCAAGACTCAACACTCATTAACCAACACCACGGGAACACATCCCAAGACCACAACGGATAACGACACCACAAGAATAAAGACACCACAACCGGCAACACATGCCTAAGCAACACATGCCTTTGTGACTACACACGTCACAAGAGAGAACACACAACCACGGCTACACAAGCCCTCGTGACATCACCCGCCACGAGTTGATATGCCTTCCTTATGCCTTGTTCCAACCTTATGGCTACCCCCAACCTTATATCTAGTTCCAACCTTTACCTCCAGAACCCCTGTACATAAAATCCAACCTTATTCCGTTGGGAATCGTCATTCCCCTTCCAACAGACCTCCGCCAAACACCACCAATTCATAGTACCCGCGACACTATCACGCACATGGCACACATGCCTGGATAACACCTGTTGTCCCCCAAAAACGTGAACCTTACACAAAGGCCACAGCTCCATAATCACGCCACGGCCACCACAAGGACCACTGCAATACCTTGGTGACTAGTGTCCCATACCACTAATCGTGCATTCCAGGTAAAGCCACACACGCACCACAACTCAACACGAGTCAAACAATGGATCGCAACGAAGGTATGAAACATACTCAATCAAGGAACGGGTCACAGCCCGACAACATCAACGATGAATAACACAAGTTATCATCAACCAAATGGAAGGTACAAACCACACACACACTAGCATTAAGACTACAAACTTGCATGCCTATCAACGGGGAAACTCAAGATAGTTCCGAGGAACACACAAGACACCTCTCGGTTCAACGAAACACAATGTTGAACACTTAGCACGATTCAAGACACCAAAGTCCTACATAGATCCCTACCATATAGTTCTAGACATACGAAAAATCAAGAAGACACTCAAAAGTTCCACAAAAGAACATCGGGAAGTCAAAAGATCAAATACCGAGACAAACGAATCACGGGGAACAAATCCCTTCATAACCACAACCATATACCCGCGGGTGGACCCATGGGTAGTACCCCACCCGTGGTTCCGCCCGCGGGAACACCTTCCCACGAGGCTGTGTACCCACGGGTAAGCCGGCGGGTGGTGCCCCGCCCGCGGGAACACTCCTGTTCCACAACAAATCCCTTCGGGGATTTTCTTCTCCAAACACAAATTCAAGTCCAAAACATACCAAATCTCACCCAACACAACAAAATGACTTGAATCATGGAAAATGGCACACAAGAACCCTAAACACAAGCTCTAGATATGCAATGTCACAAGACAACTGCATAAACCCTCACATTTCATAGCAAAGAACAAGTAGATTCCAAGAAATCACATATAGGTAAGCAAAATAGGTTTTAGTAGAGCATGGGTTACCTCTTGTAGACCAAAAGACTTCACTTTACCCTCAACAAGCTTCTTACAAGGCTTACTTTCCAAACCCACTTCAAGATCAAACCAAAAGATCATAAAGATCCTACCTTTAAGAAAAAGACAACTAAGGTGGAACCAAAAAAAACAAGATAAACTTAGATCTTACCCTCCTAGATGCCCAAATAGGTGAAAGGTTGAATCTTGGAAGCAAAACTTGAAATCTTGACAAGGGTCTCAACTTAGCTTGGAGAATAAGCTACACCTCTTTTCTAGAGAGAAGATAGAGAAATTTTCTAGGAATTGTAAGGAATGAAATGAAGAAGTCTTCTAGGTTAGGTTACAATACTAACTCTTGGTGAAAAGTTAAGAATACCCTTACTAAACTTTAGAAAGTGTAAGGAACAAGGGAGCACCCCTCAAAGCTCAAAGTACAACACAACTTAAAGATTGACTAGTCAAATACTAGTCCTTGAGTATTAAAAATCAGGATTTTAGGAATTAATTGCTCAAATAAAATAGGATTAATTACTAAATTAATCCATGGACTGATTGTGGATTTTTGGGGTGTCACATCCTCTCCCCCTTCAAAGAAGCTTCGTCCCCGAAGCTTGGGTACGACGAATAGAAACAAACGGTGGTAAGAAACAACATTGTGACAAGAGGTTCAATAACAAATCCTTTTGGTCAATACTCAAAGGTTCCACAAGGATTTTAAACAAGGAAAAAGGGGCATAACAATTCAAGAATTGTCAAGAACAAAACCAAGGAGAAGATTGAGCATCACAAACTCTATGCTTAACACCAACATCTACTTCTACCCAACACTAAGAGCAAGACAACCAACACGAAACACTACTATCACTACAAAGCTAACTAAGCCACAAGGCTACAAACAAAGCAAGCACAAAGGCAACAACAAGCAACCATGCAACGGCGACTAAGCCCTAAGAAAAGCGACAACAAAGAAAGAGGTGAACAAGGAAACCACAACTACTAGAAAGACTCGCTCTCCGACTCTTCGGACTCTTCCTCGACGACTCGAGCTGGCTTCAATCTGGTCCAACCGATGATGCACAGCAACAAACTGAGTCTTCATGAATGCAAAGCCCTCCTCTAACATGCGGTTCTGCTGACGAAGCAAAGCAACAACACGCTCTTCATGCGACGTGGGGTCGTGCTCCCTCTTGGTGCGAGCTTCCCTTCTTCGTCGGTTCTCTTCACTCTCCGAGTCACTTTCTTCAGCTTCAACAGCTTCTAGCACATCCACCTCTTCATCATCTTCGGCTTCATCCTCGGCTCCTTCGTCACCTCCCAAGCTCTGAACAGCGAGGATCAACTTTCCAGCATGGATTCCAAGCTCAGCTGCTAACTCCGCTCGTTCATCAGGTGCTTTCCTTGCCACTTCTTCAAGCGTGATGTACTCGCCATCATCCAACTGAAACAGGTGACAACTCCTAAGGTTGGTGGCATCCAACACTAGCTTTCCTACAGCTTTAGGAAGACAACCATCCACACTGACGCCCTTCCTAACCAAGATCCAGCTCAACACCTTCCATAAGGCAAACTCTTCTGATTGTGATCTCGGCAAAACACCATGTGTTCCAAAATCAAAGAAGGGAAGTTGAACTTAACCATATTCTTCAGACAGAAAGCAAAAGTGCACTCCAGCTTACCCAACAACTTGCTCTTGTTATTGTTCGGCAACAGACAGTCCGATACCAACATCACCAAGATCCTTTGCTCCGCCGACAACCACTTCTTTTCCGGCCTAGAGGTTTGAGTGAAACCACTCGTACGGCCTAACAAGTAGCTCAAGTAGTCATGGTACCCCACGGCATCCGTACTAATCCAAGAATGACCACTGTACTGAGCCACTCCGGTAGCAGACAAACTCAACAACTGGGCCAACCTCTTCTCAGAAAGCACAACCTTTACACCTATCACCTTAGAGGTGATTTCAAGCCTTTCACCTTCCTTCGTCACAACCATGTGACGGTAAAACTCTTTCACCAAACTCGGGTATGTCTCGGCCCTTGTGGCGATAAACCCATCCAACAAGCCTTGATACTTAAGCAAATCCAACAAGGAACTAGAAAAAGATTCTGGATCAAAAGCTTTACCTTCAAGCACAAGGTAGTGGGTATCCACCCACTCCGCTTTCCTAGCCAAACTTGACCTTCTAGGCATGGTAGGAGATGATCCAAAGCTCAACAAACAAAGCCCACAACTTCTTCTTCACACCCACACTACCTCTCACTCTCCCGAGCTCTCTCTCTCTCTCTCTCGCGCTGCTCTCGGCGTCACGGCAACAGCAGGTCGGCGACGGCGGTGTGACGGTGGTCCGCCGGTGGTGGGGCGACGGGTTGGTGGTGGTCAAGCTACGGGTTGGGGATGGGGTTTATGGTGGTTCACGGGT